GCGAAAAATCAGTCTATAAAGGTAAAATTCTCATCCAAGCGAATAATTACCAAAATGAAAAGGCACCGCACGTTGGCGCAAAGTGAGTGTAGGAATATTTTCACAACACAATTACCTGTATCACATCATGCTAATAACACTTAAAAATCCAACCAGTCTTCAGACTTGCTGGAAAAGTATCTTAAAGAACTAATCTTCTGCTTTGTCTGGATAACTATCGCTGTTTTTGACAATTCTGAAGGCGAGGGCGACTGAAGAACCAAGATCGCGCTTCGTAACTGGACGGCCAGCCTACGTCAGCAAACAGCACACAACTCCAAACAAAATTACTCCCCTATACCGCTATTTGTTAAGACGTGGTTTTAGTATTAAAAACCCATTCAAAAGATCAAATATAATAAACAAGGAGAAGTATCATGCATATTTTCCTACTTAAAACCACGCAAAAGACCGATGTCTTCATCGAACTCAGTTTATAAACATATGGAAGCGCTTAGCAGCCTAAAGTTGATGACCACTGACCAGTTACTGTGACGTCACGAAAACGTATTTCCGCGGTGTCGCCTGTAACCTTCGCTCACCACCAAATTTAGACTGAAGAATTTCCTTAGCTTCCTTGTACTCTGGGTCTGAAACTCCAAAGCCCCTGATGGCCTAAAGAGCAGTTCCTGTAAGGCTCTGTCTCAATGTAGCCATTTTAATATTTGTTGGCTCCACCCCTTGATCGACAAGACTCAAAAACATCTCCCAGAAATCCTCGAATTTACTTTTCTCACCACAAAACACTGGTACTTTTAAAGGTTTAAGTCGCTGGTCACTGTTACCTGAGTGATGTGAACTTGACGACTGGCTCTGTGCGGGCGAATGAGTTGATTGAGCAGGTGACGTAGGCAAGGGAATTTGCAGCAATAGGGAGCTTCAGCAACCACGACGACGAATGGAGGACGACGACCGGAAGTAGCGAGAACGTCACTGCGCAAGCGCGAACCAAGAATTTCGTCGTCGTCTTGTCGTCGACGACTTAAGAAGGATCTGTTTCACGTCGTCGTGAACTTCGAACTTCAAAGCAGTCTTTCTTATCAAAAGGTGCGGGTTTATTGTCGTTTTTTGACAGTCTACGGCCGTTTGGAGTTTGTATTCGCTTCTTCGGTTGATTTAAACCTCCCTGTTCAGTTTTCTTAACAGATAAAATTCGAAAACCCACTAACTCATTTCTTTCCTCCGCACAACAGATGTCAAGTCAAGCGGTGAAAGCGACCCTGAAAGATTTAAATTTATTTGAGTATATTTTATGAAAGTGCTGTTTATCATTTTTATTGAATGAAAAGTTTTAAATAGCAGTGCAATACACCTCTGCGTTCGGTCAAAAGCTGTGTGTTTGGAACTGCCGGATTATTGCTACTAAAAAATTTTGCCTGTTGCTTTTCTTCAATAGGGACGCTTTAAACAGCAAAGAATTCTTCAGATCGGTGTGTTAACATAAGCGTGAATACCTGTCAGGTTTTGCGAATCTATTTTCGAAATGTTTGATATAGATTTACAGCCATAAAAATTATTCCGACAAAATCACAAGGGAAAAAAAATAGTATTCTTGTGTGAAGCGCGACGACCGCTATCTGTGCCGATCCGGCTAGCTAGCATTGATTAAACTGACGGACTTACGTCGTTTGCTCGCCAAAAGAACGAGCATCAAACGTAGAACATATCAGGCTAAAGCATGTTGAAAATCAGGCAAACCTCGTGCAAAATAGGTTTGTTCATATCAGCAACACTTAGAACTGAATTTAAACCTCAAATAACTTCCATAAAATTTAATATTTTAAACTTTTGCCATGCGTAACTTAT